TTACTAGTCGTGAGATTACAGTTAATGTTGTACTTTATAAAACAAACCATTACGCATATATTAAATTAAAATAAAAATAACCATATTGTCACTTTATATGTCATTGTCATGTTGGTTTTATTAATGGACATATATGAATGAATATACAGTTATTTGACGCGGAAAGCAAAACAAGGAACAATAGTTTTTATTATTATTAATTTAATTGTCGATAAAAAATAAATTAATCCTGTCAGTTTGGCTTAAGCACATATGAATTTTTTAATGTTGGGATGTCGATAGAAAATGAAATTCTGATGGTATTTATTGATATGTAAATATATCACAATAAATTATACTTAATTTGTTAATATCTGATTTTCGATTTATACTTTTTTTAATGTGTAATTTCTAAAAATAACCTATAAAATAAAGCTTGACAGTAAGTCAAAAAGTTTTCTTTGTCAATAACAGTCAAGAATACAACCATCTTATATATATATATATATATATATATATATATATATATATATATATATATATATATATATATAAGATATGCTCTAGGCGTGTGCCTAAAATAAACTACTACGGAATTTTTAATATTCGTCGCTCTCTGATACACTGATGCGTAATTCAATTGTGCGAGTCACGTTCGTCGTGGTAAAGTGCGATGGGAAGGGAATGAAGAGACCACTCACGTCTCCCAGTATTGCAGCAATAACACCGATGCGTTTGGCCGATACGGTGTCGGTGATAAGTTCGGCCTCTTTACGAATACAGATAGCTAGCAGTGACGTGTTTTTTTAACATGTTACCCTGATCTGTGCAGGTTTGAAGTAGCTGATGAGAGAGTTTTTATAAGTTAACAATTTTTAATTATTTAATAGTTTGAGCTCTTACTGTGTGGAATTCCATTACATAAAATAATACTCTCGACACCTTAAAAATTCCAGTTTATTATAAATTAACTCTCTCTCTTCCTATACCCATTGAAATAATGACTTGTGGCATTGTTCTTGAATGAGCTGGCTAATAGGTTTTTAATTGATTACCATTGATATTTTATGTTGTTTTAGTCAATTTTACTCAGTCATTGTTGGAATTTATTCCGAACAGCTTAACTTATTATTTTTTGTTGTGAATAACTAATTGTTCAATTTATTAAAAAAAATGCCAGGAAAAACGATAACAGGAGAAATGCGACAATGTGTAGTTTATTTATTGGAGTATTTTAAAAAAGAAAAAGAAAACAACGGACCTTTGCTTTCGTTATCATCGGAACATGAACGAGTAGCGGACGCTTTAAAAATCAGTCTTCGTACAGTGACAAGAATAAAGAGTGAATACAAGATAGGGGCAGCTCTTACTACACCAGGAGAGTCACGTAATGTACAAAAAAAAAGACTAATGATGTCAGCGCTACTATAAAAGGAGATATTAGAAATGTACTGTATGGCATGAAAGCAAAAGAAGAGCACGTTACAATTAAAGTTCTAAATACACAATTAAGAAACAATCATCTCTATGACGATAGAGAGGAAGGCCACAAATGAGATGTTCAGATGACATGAACAAATACGCAGGCCCAAAGCGGATACAAACTGCTTTCAATAGAGAGATGTGAAAAAAGGAAGAGAAGGTCTATGTCCAAAATTGGACAGCAAGGGCTGTATAGATTGTTTTTACTCCATGTTCTGTGACAAGATGGCCCAAATATGCTACTTCTTTTCTTAAAAAATCACATTTATCTGGCTGTATTTTTAAATTTGCTATTCGAAACCTTTTAAATACACCTGTTAGTCGTGACATAAGGTCATGAATAGTGGGTGAATAGATTATTATGTCATCGATATATACTAAGCATCTTTCGTTTTGGATTCCTAAGAGGATGTTGTCCATTACTCGTTGAAAAGTATATGGAGCACTCAATAGTTCGAGTGGCATGCGAATAAATTCGTAATGTCCATTTTTAACGAAAAATGCTTTTTTCTGGATGTCTTTTGGGTCAATTTCAATCTGGTGAAATCCATACGCTAAATCTAGAGTTGTAAAATATTGGCATTATCCTGGTTGGTCCAATAGTTCTGAAATTTGTGGTAGTGGATAACGGTCTTGTACTATAAGCTCCTTGAGCTTGCGATAGTCAATAACAATTCGCCAGTTTTGTCAAATTTTTGTTTTTTTTTTTTGAAGCGTCTATTTTTTCGGTACAACCCAAACTGGGGATGACCAGGGGAGGTAGATGGCTAAAATTATTTCTTGTTTTAACATTTTATTAATTTGTGTCTTAAGCTTTTCCTTGTGTATTTAACCCTAGAACACTAACCTTAATTTCCACTCCCGTAGACACTAACCATTCGTGATATTTACGATTTTTTTTTCAACTCCAAAAAAGTATAACAAAAAATTAAGATGATATTTTAATTAATTTTTTAAAGGAACAAAGAAACATTTTTATATCTAAATTATACAAAAACATTTCAAAATCTATGCATCTACGTCAGAGGTAACGCAACAACGAGCATGTTGTTCTGCGCAAAATGCTCGTTTGCAGTGATTGCAATGAAGTGACGTCATTCTTCTTTTTTTGGAGGGACCGATGTGACATGTAGTACGTTTGTTAGAAGGTTGATTGTCCTCAGTAACTTCCAGAGGAATTTTAATTAAATCACTAATCAGAAGCTTCACCGAGCGTTGCAAAGTCGGCATCGCAAAACGCTTTTCAAGCCATAATCTTGTGAGTCCTTGATGGAGATTTAACATAAAAGCCTTTCTTGTTATTGGCTCCTGATTATTTCTTGATAAATTATGATTATATATAATCCAAGAGTTTATACACGCTATGTTGATCATACCATAGAACACCCTTTGTTTGGTTATAGTGCAATATTATTTCAGGAGGTATCTCTCGTTTATTTTGCCGCAAAGTACCAATAATTGTAAGGTTATAAGGAGGCTTCAAAAGAGTATCAGCAAGGTTCACTGAAGTGAACCAATTTTCCATTGTGACGTTTCGGTAACTTCCGTAAATAGTTTCAGTCAACTTTTTAACATAGTATTCTCCTAGAGATTCCCCATTTGTGTGCGTATGTTTGCCGATATAAGGGTCTGCGTTCAACATGTACTTGGTACCCGCGTCGCAAGTCATCACAATTTTAATTCCGTACTTGGCCGGCTTATTCGGGATATACATCCTGAAAGGGCACCGGCCTCTAAAAGCTAATAACTGCTCGTCAATAGTTATATAGCTACCTGGTCGATAAGACTTTTTACAATTAAAAATAAATTCATCCCATATTTCTCGAATAGGGGCAAACCTATCTAAATTTCTTTTTTCAGTTCTTGTGGCTTTATTATCGAACCTGATTATGTAGAAGAAAATCAAATCTTTCGCAGCTCATTGTTGCTCTATAAACGTAGCCAGACATTTTGGAATCAAACATCTCTCTACTGTGAAGATGATTATCTTTTTGTGCTCCAAAAAATATAAGTAGTCCAACAAGAGCATTTAATTCATCCCTTGTTACGAGAGAATTAGTATGTTTAGCAACTTTAAAATTTTTCAGATTTTAGGCTGACTTGAGTATTGGTGTGCAACAGAATTTTTTCGTACATAGGATCATTCATCAAACACTGATATACATCTAATGGTATATTAGCATCTTTTGCCTGTCCAGATAGCCCTTGAACAACATAAAAAATATTCCTTTTGGTGGTACGTTTCCGAAGATTAGATACAGCACACCAGCGATGACCATTTTTGCCCTTGAGACTTGTAGTCAAATTGGAAGTATGAGGATCAGATTCGTCCACAATGTCTTCGGTTTCTCGCTCTTCCACTTGTTGAAAACACACTTCTTGATTACCTTTTTCGTTTTGATGAGGCTGAGTTATAATTTGTTGAAATGAATGTTCTTGTTGAATGTCGGTTTCCACACAAGAAATCTCATATTGAACTCTACATGAACTACTAGGCATAGAAACAGAGGTAGAGCAGTTATTAGACTTTCTTTTTTTCGTTTTAGGACTGCTATGCTCAAAATCGCTGCTTTCGTCACCAGAAAATTCTGGCTCGTACTCAGATTCAGACGGGCAGAAATTTTGTACTATGTCTTCACTTTTATGAATAACTAGAAGTTTCTTCATTTGATTGTAGACTCTCATCGTCAAATTCACCCATCAATATTTTTTCGGCTTCCAATTCCAATTCTAATTGGGATAAGGGCCTTTTATCTTCAAATTTTCTAGCCATTTTTTAATTAAATTGTCTGTAAATAATAAAAGATAAAAAAAACTTACGTTAACACTAACCTTTCGTAAAATTTACGAAGCAACTGAGATCTTGCGGGTAACGACTGCAGAAAAAAAGACAACTACACCGTGAATGTACTAGGCAGACTGAATAACAAAGCTACTCATATACCTTATGCTTCCAAAATTCATGCAAGGTTGCCAATTCTTAAGAAAACAATCGGTGTTCGTATATTTTACGAATGGTTAGTGTTCTAGGGTTAAGGATATCTGTTAAATTTAGTAAATATAGGTTTAGCTTTGTTTGTTTCTATTTTGTGTTTAATTTCGTTTGTAAACGTCAATGTGTCACCTTCTACATAAAATATATCTGCATATTCAGTACAAATCTCTAGAATTAGTTCTTGTTTTTCGTAATTTAGATGGTCAATTTTTAGTTGTTGTTCAATTATCCTTGATCTGTTTACTATTAGTTCTTTTAAGTATTTTTCGTTGTAGGATAGAATTGTCTCTGAATTTTCGAAAGGTTCGATTGAGATGTCCGAAAATTTAATTATATTCGGTATAAATTATATTATATATTTATTTATATTATATTGTAATATAATTTTAATTATATTATTTTTTATAATTTCTATTTTTAATAACAATAAATGTAAAAAAAAGTCAATTAAAAAAATAGTACGCTCTTAATGGTTAATATTATTAAAAACCCAATCATTGGTAAAAATACATTTATTTAAATTAGATGGTACACTTAATAATTATTATTCTTTAACTTTGCTCTGAAGCCATGATAAAAAGCTTGAAACCTTCGTGTAGACTCCAGGTACTCCTGGTGTACCACAATAAGCAGATCCAAATGAAACGATTCCCTCTTGGTACCACTGAAGAGGATTAGCAAGTGACCTTTTCATTAAGGGACCTCCACTGTCACCTGTAAAAATAAGATGATGGATTAACAATGCATTTTGTTTACTATCCATATATATAGATGTATTTATGTAATATATATATATATATATATATATATATATATATATATATATATATATATATAGTAGTTTTGAGTTTCTTGAACCGTATTATATTTAATATAAAATTAATGTTTCTTGGGTTTAGGTTCAATAAAGATATGTTACATGTGGAACTAGATTTTATTTTCCATTGCAATCAATCAACGTTTCGGCAGGAAACCCTTGCCTTTGTCAAGATTCTAAAATGTGTTTATATATAAGGACAAACAGATATTTTAAAATATGTATATATATATATATATATATATATATATATATATAATATATATATATATATATATATATATAAATATATATATGACTTACCAAAACGTAAAACGTGACACAGACATTAACGAACTGACATATAAAAGTTGATATCTGATATCTCAGTGTTTACTGTCATTAGTATATAATTATTTTTATATGAGCGTATCGTTGATGTTTTCGAAAAAGGTAAGGTGGAGATATGTTATGACTTTAAGAGTTTTTTATGATGTTATATTATTATTGTTTAAATCAGATTGAAATATATTTTATTTAGGTTTTGTGTATCTTTTTTGTCATTTATTGCGTTGGTGTTTCTTTTTATTTCTATTGATTCGTATATCTCCCTCTTCTTTTTGTTTTTTTCTGTTTTTAAAATTCTGATGTTTTCAAAATCAAATTTATGCTTCTTCCCGCTTTATGTTTTGTGAGCGCAGTGACGTTGTTCTTGTCGTATTTGTGAGAACGAATTCTGGATTGAAGCAGTTGACTGGTTTGACCGATATAGACACCTTCACAGTTTGTACATGGTATCTCGTAAACAACATGTGATTTGTTAAGTTTTGGAGTTTGTGTTTTTAGTTTTGTGAAATATTTATTTAAGAGATTGTTGCCTTTGTGGGCCACTATTATGTTATGTTTGGCTAAAAGATTGAAGCATTGGAAATGTGGGTTCATAGGCGAATGCAGAAGATACCTTGGGCAGCAAGGAAAACTAATGAAGAAGTACTAAAGAGCCTCAACATAGATAGAGAACTGCTAAAGACTGTTAAACATCGAAAAATGTCTTATCTGAGACTTATAGTAAGGGGAAGTCCATATAAAATATTACTACTGATCCTTAAAGGCAAAATAGAGGGCCGTAGAGGTGTAGGAAAAAAACAAGTTTCTTTTCCATTCCTGAGTCCATTCACGACTGTTTTTAACAAGGTTAAAAACATTCATAAATGGACTCAGATACCAAATGCAGGACAATTATTCCATATTCCAGAAGATCGAAAAGCCTTTGCAATGTTGATCGCCAACGTCGGATAATTCTGATATGGCACGCGAAGAAGAAGAATCGGTCTTAGATTTACCTTTTACGTATTTACTGATGTGTTTAAATAAATAATTAAAATGTTATTTTAATTTAATTGAAAATTGTTTTATTATAGATTCGTGTAAAAATGTCAACATTTCTAGTAAAACAAATTAACTTCGTATGTGCTGATGCGTCTTAATTCTTTTAAGTGTTTATAAACTTAAAATCACAGTACTTTTGCAAACCTGTATTACAGTATTACAATATTAAACATAAATTTTATAATATAAAATATTTAGAAGTTGTCTATAAAACATTAATTTTATTTATATATATATATATATATATATATAAATATATATATATAATATATATATATATATATATATATATATATAATTTACCTTTACAAGAATCCTTTCCGCCTATTCCCCCGACGCATATTTGGGACTCACTTAGCTCTGGTAATACAATATTTGCTCTTTTATAACCAGCTACACATTCATCTCTCGTGACGAAAGGAATTTCAACCATGAGTTTGACAGCTGCTTCACCATGTTCCGTTGTACCCCAACCAGCAACTGTAAGTTCTTCGCTTTCAATAGAGCCTTCATTTGGTTCAGGAAGGCAAATTGGTCTGATAAAGGCTAGAAATAAAAATGGAACTATAGCATGAACTTAGTTAATTCTTAGGAATTTTCTGGTTTTACAAAAAAATCGTCATTACAAACGATGGACAAATAGATGTGTAATTATTGATGCTAAAACGACAGCTACTTAAGACTAACTAATTGATACTGATTGTGTACCTTGCTCTGTATACATAAAAAAAATGTATATACACACTTCCCTTTCTGCAAGGTAGAGGTTTGACTATTATAGTATATTTAAAAAATAAGCTCGAGTAAATTCTCAGAAAAAAACTAAATTGTTAAGCATATTGTAGTACTTGTGCTTTTCGTACAACGTCAATATTTTATCTTATTTTACGTTGTTTTTGACTATTTAGATAGAAATTTTTCCACGTCATATGGACTATCGTAAAATTTAGTTACCTCCTATTAGAACAGTAGGCTGGGGATTATTCAGCTGGTCATAGATGTACTTTAAGGGAATTACATTATTTGTTTCAATCTAGTAGATATGTAAACCATTTTCAAAGCATATTATATTTATATAAATCTGTTTATTTTAGTAACCTTATTTATGGTTATTTTTGTCGTTATGGTAACGACCCATTAAATAACAAGAAACAAAGAAATTCTTAAAATAAATAGGTTTTTAGATAATGGTCTTTTGATAGTTTATATAGAAAAAGTCGCTTAGCGAAAGATGGTTTCTGATAAATGTGAAAGCTATGTTAAATAGTATAAATTTCGATTTTGTTTGGAAAACCAATGATTAATAAAATGGTTAATTGTTTTTAAATAGTCATTCTGGGAAAAGGTACTAAAATTTTTTATTCTATTTCCTTAGATTCAAAAGGTAGACAGGTAGGTACATACTTAAAAACATAATCATTTTCTACTTTCCATTAGGGGAAGGTATCTGGATTAGGGATAATTTTTGACCGTAAATTATCATACCAGGGTTCGATTCTATTTAGATCGATATGGAAAGAAGCTATTTCGGGACATACAGGAGTTTCGCCCAGTTCGGGACTTGTTCGTGCATTCTACTAAGTGCATTCGGTACTTTATGGCAGGATCCCTTTCGGTGAACGAGAGTAAAGTTATGTTGTTTTAGACGCATGGCCTAGCGACAAAGACGATCAGAGGGATTTTTAGGGTAGTCAACCAAAAAAGGGAATAGTGGTGAGTTATGAATGTGAACTTGGTTCCTTCGACGTACGGTCGAAATTTTTCAATGGCGAAAAGGACGGCAAGACACTCACGTTCTGTGACAGAGAAATTTCGCTCGGCTTTAGTCAGAGATCGACTAGGGTAAGATATGATTTGTTCGCTATTATCTAATTGTTGCGTCAAAACAGCTCCAACTCCAGTATCACTGGTGTTGGCTTGAACGACGAAAAATCGAAATCAAAAAATTGAAAAATCAGCAATGTTTTGTGTAATAATTTTAGTTCTTCTTTGAATTTTTCTTGAGTGGAAATGCTTTTGGAGTCCATAGTATGCCCTATTTGTAAGATTTATTCGTCTTTTGATTTCTTCGCTTGTCTTGTATATTTTACCTTTGTTAAAATTCTTCTTTTTCTTCGATGTAGAATTTTTTAAACTGGCATGGTTTTGCTTTTACACTGGCGCTGTATTACGTTTGCTATATAGTAAAATGCTGAGACGAACCTAAAAGAAGGGGTCGCGGGACGTCCCGAGTAGCGTCACGAGTAGTCACCAAACAGCGGTTCTTCACATCGATTCACTAGTCTTGATCAATTATTTTCTAGTTATCGTATATTTACTCTAAGTGTGTTTAATTTAAAAACTCAATGAAAACTAATTAACTAAATACAGAAATTAAATAAGAAGTAAAACTTTAAAACAATATCTATCAATCTATTAAAAGATTTTATTTTTTATTTAAATTAAGGCGACAAGACACGTCGCCCTTTCTTGACGACGAGGTCATTGATAGTTATGATAGTATAATACAATATAAGGATATTACCAATACAGTTTTACATTTGACAATACACAATACATTTAGTTTATAGAGATTATAAAGCCCCTGATTTGAATTTGAATTTTGAAATTTGAATGCCCCTTACATATTTAAACAGATTTGAATATTTCTTAGTTTCATTCAACATTTCTTGTATGTTATCTCCCAAGTGGTATTGTCTTATTTTAGTAGAAAGATGTAAATAACCTTTAAGGGAATGCTTGACAGTTAAGGGACTGCTGCAATGGCCACATGCAGGTGGATCGGTAGATACTATGAGAAAGCCATGTGTAATCCGCGTGTGTCCAATTCTTAATCTTCTTAGAATCAATCAATCAATCAATTAATATTGTTTATTTTATCTGACTTTTACAAGTATTGAAATGCGTCAAAATATAATATATGATCAATAACAACTATAAGTACATAAAAACAGTTAACATTGAAGCATGTTTAAAATTTCTTTAAATAATTCCCCTTAGAAAATTACTTTCACGCCGACTATGTCTATACATTTTGTTAAAATCCTTAAAAATTACCCAACAGCAACGAGCGATTTGTTACGCTTTTTTTTAAGAATGAAATAATTTCGCCAAATGTTCCCCCTGTTCTCTTTATTATCTAGCCTTTGGTAAATAGAAATCTTTCCTAGTAACGAAGAAATCAGTGCCTATTATGAAGTACCCGGTTTACCTTCTCCGAAAAGCAGAAGAGTTGGTTTTCGGTCAAGGTATCACTCCTGTCGGGAGAGGGTAGTTATGTTACAAAAATGACCACAGTAGCCTTGCTATTTAAATATCAATTTTGAGTGGCACTCTTCAGCCAATACTCCCACTCATTTTTATCTTTGGCTTGCCCAAGTTAAGAATTCGTTTTCATGTTCGAGTTGGTTTTTGTAGCAAGCGGTTTGTCTCCATCAGACGGCGGTAAGTGTATTTTCCATTCACATAAGGATGTTCAGAGAAACCCTCCGAGACATTTCCAGTCTAGAAACAATTCTTCTAGCAATAACTTTCCCAAGAACCGTTTTTCAGACAAGAATTACATACCTCCCTTAACTTCTAAGCCAAATTCTTCCACTGCGTGTTGGAATTGCCAAGGCAAAGGACACAGTCACCGCGAATGTCGTCGTCCGAGAAAAATATTTTGTTACCCATGTGGAAAACCTCAAGTTACATTCCCACAATGTACAAATTGTAATCCTCCAAAAAACTAACGTAGGGAACAAATACTATCGGCTATTCTAGTCCCAGTTAACCCAAAAAGTCCGATATTTCCTGATCCTCTAGTTATTCTTCAAATAGAATTCAGAATAATTTACCTCGAGATTATCGTTTCCCTACATCTTACCGAAATACCTTTAACTCCCGTTAGCAAAAACAATCGATCAAAGACCGAGACTTTTCATATATAAACTCCTACCGCTTGACCGAAAATAAGTGGAAAAATTACCTTACGCAAGTTGGAAACTTCTACCGCCTTTTTTCATCATAATAAAGTCTGTCCCCTTGTGATCTCTACATATACTGATAAAAGACCTTACATATCTGTAAATAATCTACAATCAGGATTTTACTGTACTATTGGATACCGGTTGTTCCATTACGTGTGCCGGACAACAAGGTCTCGATTTTCTTAATCAAAATAAGATTCCAATTAATAAATCCGTTAACTCGACAGTTTCTTTAGCAGACGGTTTCAATAAAAAAGTAACTGGTCTCATAGATTTACCTATTCTTGCCGATAACGTCTTTAGAGTAACTCAGTGCCTTGTAGTGTCTTCTTTACAGTGTTGTTTTATCCTTAGAAGTAACTTTGCTGAAAAATTTTGTCTCTCTATTAATTTTAATACCAACAAATGGAATACTAAGTCCAACAAACCAAACCATCCTTTCTCTATGGCCAATCCAGGAGCTATCTTCCCGCAACTTTGTTCATTAGAATCTCTTAGTCCAACCGACCGTACCTTAGGGGACAAAATTATTAATAACTTTAACAAAATTAGTAACGCTGAAGGTATAGGTCGTACAGATAAAATTAAAATGACAATAGATACCGGCGATTCAAAACCATTCAAGCGACGTCCTATCCCTATGTCTCCATATATGTCGAATATCTTAAATAAAGAACTAGATTCAATGCTCCAGCTAGGTGTGATAGAACCCAGTTGTAGTTCTTGGTGTTCATCCGTTTTGTTGGTTAGGAAGAAAAATGATGAATTTCGTTTTTGTTTTAATGGTCGTACTTTAAACGATGTCGCTGAACATGACACCTACCCGCTTCAAAATATCGATAGGATCCTTTCTCTTTTACGAGGAGCAAAATTTATCTTGTCTATTGATCTTAAGAAAGGTTTCTAGCAAATCCCCTTGGAAAAATCATGTCGTGAAAAAACTGCTTTCGCTGTAGTAGGTCGAGGGTTATCCAATTTACCGTTATGCCTCTCGGTTTGTGTAACTCAGCACAAACACAACAACGTCTAGTTAGTTGAGTAAATTTTCGTACCTAAACTCGAACCCTTTAATTTTTGGTATCTTGACGATATAATAGTATGAAGAACTTACCTTTGAAGAACATATCTGTCTTCTTTCTAAAGTTAAAGAAAAGCCAAAGGACGCAAATATTACCATTAACGTCGATAAATGCGAATTCTTCAAAACTACTTAAATTTGTCGGTTATATCGTTCGTGATAATTCTCTTCGGTCGAACCCCGAAAAAATATCTGCTATGATAACCTATATCATACCTACAAACACTACCGAAATTAAACGCTTCATTTGACTTTGCTCTTTGTACCGCCGTTTCATTCAAAATTTCTATACCCTTGTCTCTCCAATAACCGATCTCCTAAAGGGTAAAGGAAAAAAAAGAAACTAGCAATTACATGGAATCCTGAAGCCGAAAAGTCTGTTATCTTAATCAAGCAAGCCTTAGTATCCAAAAAGAAGAATTTTAACAAAGGTAAAATATACAAGACAAGCGAAGAAATCAAAAGACGAACAAATCTTACAAATAAGGCATACTATGGACTCCAAAAGCATTTCCACTCAAGAAAAATTCAAAGAAGAACTAAAATTTTTATACAAAGCATTGCTGTGGCCGGTCCTCACATATGGAGCAGAAACATGGACTCTAACGCAGAAAGATGAAAGACTTTTGGGTATTTGAGCGTAAAATACTCCGCAAAATATTTGGAGCTGTAAACGACCAAGGGCAGTGGCACAGAAGATATAATTTTAAATTGTATCAGCTCTTTGATGAGCCAGATATCATAATGTTCATTAAAACACAGCGACTTAGATGGGCTGGACACATAATACGAATGCCAGAAAATACCATTGCTAAAAAGCTAACCACAGGAACACCTGTAGGAAAAAGAAGCAAAGGCTGACCGCGAATTAGGTGGTTAGATAGAGTAGAAACCGACTTACGAATATTAAAAATCAGAAGATGGCAACATGTTGCCAAAACCGAACAGAATGGCGACGAATCTTAGAGCAGACCAAGATCCACAGAGGATTGTCGAACCAAAGATGATGGAGAGAATGGGATAAGTACGAACGACAAAATAAACGGAACATTAATAGACTAACCATTATACAAGATATTTGAATAGAATTGTCATTTACAATTTGGACAAATTTTAAAATATCACGTGCAGAACTTAACGAAACTCCTAGTAAAATAAAATATAATAAATCTGCTTAAAAAAAGTTTTCTCACCTGTATATGTAATCACTTCAGCTAGCCTTATAACTGCTATGTCATTGTAAACAGCTTTAGCATTAGGGTCAAATCTTTCATGCTTCACTATGCTGTCAATCCCAGTAATTACTGGTCCATTATTACAATTGTTTGCTTTATCGCAGTGTCTATCTTCTCTAGTTTTGTGGTGTGCACCTAACTTGATATACGTACTACAAAAAATAGTTTATTTGTTAATAATCAATTATTTCTTTACAAAAGCCCTTATTCTGTTTGTATGTAAAATTAGAAATAAAATACTGTTTGCACTTCTAGGATCTAATTAATTATCATATTATAGTATTTATCCTCATGAACTTACAAGATGTTAAATAACCCCTAAGTTGTTTACAAGAATAGACCGGAAATGAAATTAGAGTTTTACCAACCTAGAGAACAGGCAGGTTTTACGAAAAACTTTGGCACCAACAACCACTTACACTGCAGAAAATCAATTACAGACAAAACCATCGAATACAACCGTCTATTGGTCCTGATTTTTGTAGACTTTCGCAAAGCTTTTGATACGATAGAAATTAACAGCGTAATTAGAGCGTTGAAGGAGAGTCGCATATATTATCGGTAGTCCAAACTTATCGCAAATATCTAATAATAATAATAACGGGAATTTAATCACCAAGAGGTAAATATGGATCAAGTCCCTAATGAAATACATGAGCAGATTCCTAAGCTTACCATACACGAAACTCAACCTGATAATACACTACAGGACAACAACGAGTTACGCGATACTTTGGTAAGCGAAATTGCACGAGGTACAAAAATATAATGGAACAAATCCACTTAGCAGACCACCGCTACCAAAAATAAACTCTTCTAAAAAACTACACTGCACCCTGGGAGAAACCGCTTCTAAACAAGATTGAATTATTGCGTAGGGACATTGGTCAAATGACAGAATATATACGAGAAACAACAAGTAGAAAAGTCTTTAAAAGAGCTGATCAAATAATGCTAAGCACTGCAAGACACTCGCAATATGATCCAATAAACATCACAGCCCATTAGTGCCTGGATACATTAAAACAAAAACTCTCAATTTATTCAGGACGACTAAGGGGGTACAAGGTTAGTAATAGCCGGAAATATGACAATGCGCTTTTTGAGCATACCAAGAAGTGGTTCTATCGGAAATTTAACTCCACTGTCGAAAGTGCTAATAAATCATTCTCCAATACAAGTGCTAATACAAGCAATATAGGAGTTTTGGGGAAATTAACTTTTCACACCAACTCTGGATAGATCGAAGATAAGACGCACAGCTGTTAACACTACCGCACAACTGTCTATGAACCCTTTACCACAGAAGAAGTCTCTAATATCATCAAAGAGCTTCATAACTGGAAATCTCCTGGACCAGACGGAGTTCAAAACTTCTGGCTTAAGAAGTTTTGGAGTGCTCATAAGTGCTTGTCAACACTAATTAATCGTGTTATTTCTAAGCCGCAGGAAATACCATCATTCATAACTCAGGCAACAACTTATTTAATACCAAATAATCAAAATAATACCCAAGATCTAGCCAAGTACCGCCCAACTACTTGTCTTTCAACTCTGTATAAGTTGGTCACATCCTTTGTAGCCTAGCGTATCTACCAACACTGAGCTCTAAACAATATCATAGAGCTTCAACAGAACTGATGCGCTAAGGGTTCCATGGGTTGCAAAGAACAACTTATTATCGACTCAGTCATTTATAACCCGGCATAAACCAAAAAAGGAACCCCTTCACTGCCTTTATTGACGAATATCAGAAAGTAATGTTAAATAAGTGCCTACCGATTCACCGAGATATCCGCACATCACACGGAACCCTTAAATACTGAAGTATACTATATCCAAAGCGCATAAAATATACATGATAACTATAACAACCAAGACCAATGGTCGTCAAGTTTGATGCCAAGAACAGAGTCGAAAGTCATTTAAATAACAAGCCCGTCTATTATCTCCCAAACCCCATATAGACTCTGTGTGTTCAACTAACAAATACAGTAGATATATCCATAATTTAATTTAGCAGAATATTCCTCAATGAGTGGCTTTGCAATTTAGACATGAAATTTTATATAACTATAAAATAAATTTATTGTTTGTTACCTATTGTTGTATTTTTCATGTGTGCTATCTTTTAATATCGTATGGTAAATGATCCATAGGCTAAATAAAGTTAAAGTTAAAGATTATAATTATGAAATATGCTTACAGTTTTCCAATAGACATTTGAGCGCTGTCTGTTACACAATGTGCTGCTGTCAAGACATATCTGTGACTAATAAGTGAACCTCCACAATACCATCTTGTTGTAATGCCTTTTCTGTAACCCAGTAACGCCATCCAAGGAAATTCGTCTATCTCTGTCTCTTGTCCTCCATGAATAAAGCCTATTAGCTTTTGATTCTTATCAGATTCCTAAAATTATACGAACTATTCGCATACAAACAAATTATAAGGCTTTAAAAATAATCTAAAAAAGATTTATAAGATCTGATTACTAAATTATTTCAAAACATAAAGCATTATCTAATGGAAATGAAATATTTAAAAAATATTTTATATAATTGAATAATTCATATTTTTTTCTGCAGCCGCAGCCGTCCCGAAAATAAAACTTTTGGTATGATTTATTAAAGCGAAAGTAACACTTTACACAACTTATCGTCTCAACTTAAGCGTCTAGCCGTTGGCAGGTCAGTATAATCCTGACCAATCCAATCGCACTTGATTTTGTGTGTAGCGCGTCATTCAAATTATGTACAGGTTTGAATGTAACAGTTCTCATATCACGAAACGTTCTCAGGTTGTTCACACAAATAAGGAGTTATGTTTAATTGTTTTGAATACACAGAAACTCATAAAAATGTTGTAGACACTTCAACGGAAGATAGCAAAATCAAGAAAGATTCTAAGAAGTGTCCTTTGTATAATTTTTATTCAAGTTATGTTGCAGAATTGCATTCTCATTTTCAAGAAGAACACAACCTAATCCTAGAAAGTGAAACACTTCAATTTTCCAATTTAGTCTCTTTTCAGGAGTGGAAATGTTTTATTGAAAGTAGTACAAAAACCAAATACGTTAAAGTCGAGAACTTTTCCGCAAAGACTCACAAAACAATGAAGTTTCTCTGTCATCGGTCAGGCTGCTTTAATTCTGAAAGCAAAGGAAAAAGGCACTTAAAAATGAAAGGCAGTATAAAAATTGGTGGATTTTGCCCAGCAGTCTCACGGTTGTGGTTGATTTGGCAGAAAAAGTTGAAGTCAATTTTATAAAAACACACATTGGACATCAAACTGAGATTTTACAGTTATTTCCAAGTCTATCTGAACGTCAGTTTATTGCTGATATTTGATTGTGGTAATTATTTTTATTATACAACAACATAACAAATAACAACAACTATGATCTATAATAATAATAAGTGACAAGCAGACAAGCCCTCCCTCACTTGTTGCCAACTCACAATAAGATAATATTTATAATATGTAAAATAATAAAACTGTGTATTTAAAACAACTAAACATTACTTCTTGTTTGAGTGAACAATCCGAGAACGTTTCGTGATATGAGAAATGAGAACTGTTACATTCAAATATGTACATAATTTAAATGACGCGCCACACACATACTCAAGTGCGATTGGATTGGTCAGGATTATCCTGACCTGCCAACGGCTAGACGCTAGTGAAAGTAGGTACTTTCGAAACGATTTTGGTTAGCTAAGTAACGGTTTGACAATAACAGTAACATCAACCTTGTATTTTATTATGACAACGCTTGTCATTTAAGATTCGTGTGTTATCGCTCAGTTTTTCGTTTTTTAATTCCAAGAAATAAGAATCAGAAGTGAAGGTGAAGCAAATATGATTCCAGACGAGATTAGGGAAACTGTTAAAGCCGCTATTTATGATTATTGCCGGTAAAGTTAATAAAGAGGTATGAATTGGTCTATGATTTATTTCAAAAATGGAGCAATGATAAAAGTGTACATACTATAAATGAAGAAGTCATTCTTGCATATCTAATGGAAAAATCTAGTATCTTGAAGCCATCATGCCTTTGGAGCAATTACTCGATGATTAAGTCTACACTTAACATTAAAAATAATATAGATATAAGCTGCTATCCAAAAGTTATTGCTTTCTGTAAAAGAAAATCCATCGGCTACAAACCAAAAAAAAATCGAAAGTATTGAATAAAACTATTCGAGATACTAACAGAAGTTTTCAATAGGCAATTGCATGGAGAACCAGTGCCACAAAGTTGGAAAGAAGGATGGATTACATATATCCATAAAAAAGGAAATAAGGAAGATTGCAATAACTATCGGAGTATAACTGTTACGAGCACGCTTAGCAGATTATATGGGAGAATTATAAAAGAACGCATTATGCAAAGAATACCGTCCTTTTGAATCAGAAGAACAAAACGGATTCAGAGCAGGACTATCCACAATAGATAGTATTTTCTACATTCCAAATACTCGAGAAAAGAACACTGAGATCTCGAGAAGTGTATTTACTTTTAGTAGATTTAACAAAAGCATATGACACCGTACCTGCTGCGAAATTGTGGCAAATATTGGAGAAAGCCGGCATCATAGTTCCACTAATCGATGCTATTAAAGATCTATATAACAACCCAATATCAAAAGTTAAAATAGGAAATAAGGTTTCTAATGGTTTTCAGGTAACGAAAGGACTGAAGCAAGGTTGTTGTTTATCTTCCATACTATTTAATATATATATATATATATATATATATATATATATATATATATATATATATATATATCTATATATATATATTTTATTAATATATATATATATATATATATATATATATATATATATATATTAATATATATATATAATATATATTATAAATTTTAATATTATCAAAATCCATAATATGGTCTTTGTCTATTACATGCTCTGCCAAAGCACAAGATGGTTTCTTAATAGACAAAGACCATATTATGGATTTTGATAATATTAAAATTTTATGTAATGAAAGTAATAAATTTAAAAGAACTTTTTTGGAAATGGTTTGTATTAGCAAAAGTGATAATAATTTAAACAAAAGGTCAGAAATTCAAACTTTAACGCAAAATTTATAATTATATAATTTCTATTTAATTTATGCAGTCAGTAAAATATCACATTTTGAATTTTCCATGTATTTGTTACATTTTTTCGGGCATCTATCAATGGTGAATAAATCTTCTTCTTTTTTGTTACTTAACAAAGAAGAATTTTTTAAACAAAATTTTATTTTTGACAATATGTCAAAAATAAAAATTTTTAAGTTAGTATTTATGTCATTTTAGGCTGGTTGTAGCTATTCTATTTTTGTTTATAAATTCAATTTTTTCTTAAGAAACTTCATCTAAATTTTTCAGATAAACATTTATTAGAATAAGGCATTTTTTTATTAATATTTTTTGTATTTATTATGTAAGCAGTATTTTTATATAAAAAACTAATTTTATTTGGTAAGTTAACAAAAAATTTTTTATTTCTAGTTCAACTTTGTAAGACATTTTGTATTTTTTAGAAGCTCTTGATAAAAATTGTAATCACAATTGAAAGCTCGAGTAAAAAATAGTCAACAAATAGCCCCTTTTATTGACTCCAACCCATCAAAAACAGTGTTATATTTTTTCCAAACGAGTCACAAGTACTTCTTTTTCTTACTCTTATATATATATATATATATATATATATATATATATATATATATATATATATATATATATATATATATCGACGAAGTACTCAGGCACTGAAAAAAGAAGTGTAAAGGGATGGCGCTGTCTATTGGGGATGAAACGTTATACACGTTGCACTATGCAGATGACCAGGTAGTTATTGCCCAAGACAATATATGGCTAGAAAACTAATGGAAGAGTACAAAAAATGGGGCTTCGAAGTAAATTTACAAAAAACGCAATATCTTTGCATAGGAGGAGAAAATACTGCAGATGACCTCGACTTAGAAGGCGGGAAAATTAAAAATGCGATCAATGTATGTATTTTAGGGTAAAACTAACAAAGATAGGAAAAACTTATAAAGCCATAAAAGACAGAATAACCAAAGGGAAAAGAGTTATAGGTGCATTGAATTCAGTACTACGGCAGAAAAATATAAGACAGGAACCGAAAAAAATAATGTATAACACCATATTGAAAGAGTCCCTAAGAGCTGGAACAACTCTGAAGTAATCTTATTACACAAGAAAGGTGATAGTCGAAAATTGAAAAACTACAGACCAATCAGCCTACTGTCACACCTGTTTAAAATACTCACCAAAGTCATAACTACTCGACTAACAAGGAAATTAGACGAATACCAATCATATGAACAGGCAGGTTTTAGAAAAGGCTATTCAACTTCCGATCACCTGTTAACCACAAAAATATTAATAGAAAAATGTAACGAATACAAGTTTCCAGTGTTTCTAGCATTTGTAGACTACGAAAAAGCTTTCGATACCATAGAACACACGACCGTGATAAACGCAATGCAAAATTGTAGAATAGACAGCAGATATATTAACTTAATAAAAGAAACTATGAACCAAGCTACAGCTACATACTACCTAAATAAAAATGAACACACGAACCCTGTACCATTACACAGGGGAGTCAAACAGGGAGATACTTTATCACCCAAACTGTTCACCTTAGTTTTGGAGGACGTTTTTAAAAACCTAAATTGGAAATATAAGGGAATAAACATCAATGGCCGCTACCTCAGTAATCTACGATTTGCAGATGACATAATCCTGATAGCTACTGACCTACAAGAAATGCAAACCATGCTGTTAGAACTACATACCGAATCTTCTAAAATAGGACTGAAAATGAATTTAAGCAAAACAAAAGTCATGCACTCCGAAGACACCGTGACAATAATAAACGATAAAGTTATAGAAAAAAGTGGAAGAATATATATACCTAGGACAAAAAATAATCCTAAATAGGGAAACTCAAACTGAAGAAATAAAAAGAAGATGAAAGTTAGCTTGGGCAGCATTCGGTAAACTGATCTATATACTCAGAAATCAACAAATTCAATTACATCTTAGATCTAAAGTTTTTGATGCATGCATTATTCCGATATTAACTTATGCGGCACAAACATGGACAATCACAAAAAAAGAATATGATTATACTTAGAGTCACTCAACACGCGATGGAAAGAGCAATGCTAGGTATATCACTTAAGAACAAGAAAACAAACACATGGATAGGACAGAAAACCAAAGTCACCGATGTGGTGCAAAAATCATTAAAGTTGAAATGGGAATACGCTGGACATGTAGCTAGGAGCGATCTAAACAAATGCCACAGATCAATTTTAACCTGGAGACCATACCAACACAAAAGACCCAGAGGCAGACCTCCTATGAGATGGACAGATGATCTGAAAAGGACTGCCGGGAAAAATTGGCTACAAGTAGCGTACATTAAAAAACAATGGAAAGGAAGACTTGAAGAGGCTTATGTTCAGATGTGAACGTGAATGGCTAGACGAAGAAGAAGAAGATTTTCAATTAGCACTAAATTTGCGCTAATTGGACAAACTCACAAAATAACACAATAGCTTACACTTTTAAATTCTCACCAAAAGAAATAATAAAACAACCCTCTTCTACGGCTATCAACACGACGTTGTGTAAAACTGTGGTTAATTCCCAATAAAAAGAGTAAATTTTATATTTAAAAATAATAAACTGGTGTTTATCCAGTGAATATATAAATTGCTTACCTGAAAACCACAATTTTTTCTGTCGAGAATAGCTGAGCTTCTGCTTCTGTCGACAATAGCTGAGGTTCTGCTAAAAGTAGTTGGATTTCTTCTTCCCATTGGTTTCGGTGGCTTTGTAGATGGATTACTAATAGCGGAGAAATCACTATCAGAACCGCAGCAAACTAAAGGTTCTGAGTCGTAACCGCATTGTGACCTTTTCACAAAGTTTATTTGTGATGGAATGCCTCTTTTTATTGCTGCTAAAAGAATATTACACTCATGAACTGATGTGCACGTTGCTAATTCTCTATTGGGCGTAGTACATGTTGTTCCGCGTTCTATAAACAAATAAATCAAAAATAAATTATTATACACTGAGCGGCAAAAAAGTGGCCACCCTATAAATCTCCGAAAATAAAAATGTATTGGAAGTTTTATACACTGTTTCGTATTGCATCTTAAATTAAATATTTTTTGCGAACTTGCATGCTTGTTTTTGACAGTTTCGACGTTTATCGTTTCGGTCGTAGAAGAGTTACCTCGCAAAGAGAACATCGTTTTATTGAGATGGAACTTTTAAGAAATCGCCATTCCACTCGAATTACTGAAGAAACCGTCTGCAGAAGGTTTAAAATGGGAATGTAAGAAAGAGAACGGTTAGAAGACGTCTCAATGAAAGACGGATAGTGGCAAGAAGGCAGGCTATTGTTCCCGAATTACAACCCAGACACTGTAGGAATCAATGAATTTTTCTCGACAACATCAACACTGGGATATAATGGCAATGGCCGAGAGAGGGATTGGAGACAGAAAAATGAAAGATATACCCAGGCTTGTATGTCCTACAGCAAAAAGTTTGGCGTTAGGGGTGTCATGGTTTGGGCTGCATTCTCACTTGAACTGAACTTAGAACTGAACTTATTTTTATCACAGGACCCCTGAATGCTTACTGGTACATAGAGGCAGAAGTTGATGTTTTGGCAGAAGCAGTAGTTTCATTTGGTTCTTTTATTGGAGACAATTTCGTTTTTATGCATGATCATGATCACGGCCGCATACTGCAAGAATCCTGACATATTACTTGAAAAAAGTTGGAATTAAGACTCGAACGGCCAGCCTGCAGCCCCGATCTGAATATCCTCGAACATCTTCGGGATTAACTTCATCGTAGGATTATAAGTAATCAGGCCAGTCAGAAGATCTTGCAGAACTTCAAAACATGCTTCGTGAAGAATATGAACGTATTCTTAAGTTTTTATTCAAAAATTTTCCTTTCTCTTAAAATTGTATGCAAACAGTTACTGATATTTTAGGGCATAATACCCAATATTAAAAAATTTATTATCACTCGTAATTTTTATTGTTTGTAATTCATTTCAATTCGTTAAATAAATTCTGCTAAGAAATCAAATAGCCATTTTTTGTTTGAAAGATAAAAGATGTTAAAAATAAAATATGAAACAGTGCATAAAACTTAAATAAACTTAAAACCAATTAATTTTTATTTCCAGAAATTTAACGAGTGGCTTTTTTTGCCGGTCAGTGTATTTTATTATCATTTTACATCAAAATCATAGAAAGCGTTAGGCTTTTACGGCCATCATCTAACTTGTTAAACTGTTTATTCGGGCTGTTAGGCCGTTGTCGGGGCTTAGCGTTGTTAGCCTGGGCTGTCGACTTCATGTCCGGAAAAAAGTGTGTGCTCGGTCACTCAGCCGCCGATTTGGATCTTAGGTTCGATAATAAAGCCACAAGAACTGAAAGAGAATCTCTAGGAGAATACTATGTTAAAAAGTTGACTGAAACTATTTACGGAAGTTACCGAAACGTCACAATAGACAATTGGTTCACTTCAGTGAACCTTGCTGATACTCTTTTGAAGCCTCCTACAACCTTACAATTATTGGTACTTTGCGGCAAAATAAACGAGAGATACCTCCTGAAATGATTAATCTTAAAAACAGAAAAATCGAGAATTCAAAATTTTGCTTTGACCGAGAGAAGACGTTAGTGTCTTATAAATCCAAAAAGAACAAAACCGTTCTAGTATTGTCAACAATGCACGAACGTTCAGTTGTTTGTCCAACTACTAAAAAACCCGAAATAATATTGCACTATAACCAAACAAAGGGTGGTGTGGACACTTTTGACCAAATGTGTGGCCATCGAAGTTGCTCCCGAAAAACTCGAAGATGGCCGCTGTGTATATTCTATGGTATGATCAACATAGCATGTATAACCTCTTGGAATATATATAATCATAATTTATCAAGAAATAATCAGGAGCCAATAACAAGAGAGGCTTTTATGTTAAATCTCTATCAAGAACTCACAAGATTATGGCTTGAAAAGCGTTTTGCGATGCCGACTTTGCAACGCACGATGAAGCTTTTGATTAGGGATTTAATTAAAATTTCTTTGGAAGTTACTGAGGACAATCAACCTTCTAACAAACGTACTACATGTTGCATCTGTCCCTCCAAAAAAAGAAAAATGACGTCACTTCATTGCAATAACTGCAAACGAGCATTTTGCGCAGAACACCGTGCTCGTTGTTGCGTTACCTGTGACGTAGATGCATAAATTTTGAAATTTTTTTGTACAATTTAGATATAAAAATGTTCCTTTGTTCCTTTAAAAAATTAATTAAAATATCATCTTAATTTTTTGTTTTACTTTTTTGGACTTGAAAAAAAAATCGTAAATATCACGAATGGTTAGTGTCTACGGGAGTGGAAATTAAGGTTAGCGTTCTAGGGTTAAATAAAAAAAAAAAATAAAAACAACACAAGACCAAACTTACGTGCTTCTATTACGAAACAATTCAAAAAACAATATACAACTGCACAAAATACAACTGTATGAAAATTCATCATCACTCATTAGTGTTCATTAGAAAACTAAAGTATTCTTATTATTTTAATTAATTATTAAAGACTCGTCCAATATCTTTATGCAAATTAATGTTATTGATATTGGTTTAACAGGTCCTACTAGTTTTTTAATAAAATGTTTTAAAATATCCGTCTATCTTTTTTCTTAAAAAATATTGACTCGCGTTATTCTTAGAAGAGCCAATTTCAATAAACCACTAGTACAGTAACTGAATGTTTTCAGGTTTTCATACCTTAAGAAACAAAAGTGACATGGTGTCAACCTGCGCTTTTACCCTGGGGGTGGATGCCACCCCTTCTCGGGGTGGAAGTTATTTTATTACAAATTACTCCAGGAATCGATAGAGGGATCAAATCTAAACAAAATTTATCTTATAAAGTTATTAAAATAAATCAATAGTTTTTTATCTGCAATGTATATTAAAAAGAGTCACCGGTTATCTGCTTAAAAAGAGCAACAAAACAAGAAGAATGATCTGGCTACCATTTTATTTGACTTTAAGTTTTAAAATGTATTTATCTGCTTTTAACAAAATATAAGATTGTGTAATAAATATTTCATAAAAACAAACTTTGTTTTATATTAAAATGGCAATTGCATATATATTTTAGACCTAATTTATCCTGAGACACACGTGTATCACACGCGACCGCTCATGTAATAAGTTGCTATGCGAGTACTCCAGAATTAATAATAGTTTTTTACAAGGTCAATGGAATGCGTCGAGACTGAGAGCCAAAAACTAATAGAAAATTAATATTAATATAAGATAATATATTAATAAAAATACTTTGTATTTTTTTAAATTCTTGTCATAAATCGTATTCGTATAAAAATTTTGCATATTCAAGTTTAAGTTATAAATGGAAATTTGTCGTTGCTAAAGCTACCAAGGTTACCTTAAAACAGTTTAAGACGATATAAAATATAATGAACTAAAGACGTTCGTAACAGATCTCATTTTTTTTTAATTGCCGAATTGCCAGAATCCAGTAAGAGCCTAAGAAGATATCCATTGGATTCTGACAGGCAACGGCGGGGGACATCTTTTTTGGACCTCTACGTCACGGAACAAGAGACCCTGGTATCTTTCGGCCGAGTGGAATACTAAGCCAGAAGACACCAGGGTAATGCAGGATTAACCGTTCCAGAGAGGTGGTCTTGCCACTCAATAAACAACTAACAATTTATACATAACCATACCTATTACCGTAAATCAGAAAATGTTATACCATAAACTAATAAACAATATTAACTATTAATTTTAGATTCCTGGCTTAATTTCCTATTCTGTCCTCCTGTTCCTTTTTCTTCATCACCCCAGAAATCAGACAGTGTACTTCTCTCCATTCTTTCTCTCCTCTCAACATAATATTTACAATATTTCTTTCATCCAGCCCGAAACCCATTCGCCTCTCGAAATCTCCCATCTCATTTACCCATCTCTGGCAGTTTGAAATGTGGGCGGAAGCATCCGGTACCGCACAAACAGTACAGTCTGCCGAGGCAGATTTACCTATTCTATTTGTGAAGGTGCCAAAACTACCATGTCCGGTCAGAAACTGCGTCAGGAAGTAGTCTAGTTACCTGAACTTACATTCCCACCACGGTCTTAGATCGGGAATAAGCTCCTTCGTCCACTATCATTCGCCCATTCTCTCTGCCACTCTACTATCGTTCTTTCTCTTTCATTCTCATGTATATTTACATCCATCCTCCTCGCATACATCCTCGCTCGCTCTTTACACAACAAAACGATCGGTATCACCGCTCCAATGACATATAGAGCCTCATTAGAGACTGTTCTATATGCACTAGACACCCTAAGGAGCATTCGCCTTTGCGAAGTCTCCATCAGCTTAGCGTATTTCGCAGTTTTTAGTACACTACATCACACAGGGGCAGAAAAAACTTGTTTTCATCCTACACCTCCACGGCCTCTATTTTGCTTTTAAGGATCAGTTGTAATATTTTATTTTGACTTCCCCTTACTATATGTGCCAGATAAGAGATTTTTCGATGTTTAACAGTCTTTAACAGTTCTATATCTTTGTTGACGCTCCTTAGTACTTCTTCATCAGTTTTCCTTGCTGTCCAAGGCATCTTTAGCATTCATCTATGAACCAACATTTAAAATGCTCCAATTTTGTTTATGATCAATACTTTTAGCGACCACAATTCTACACTATACAAAAGTACGGACCAAAATAGCACTTAACCATTCTTTGCCTTAGTTCTAAACTGAGATGGTTAGTGCAAAGAAATGATTTCATTTTGATAAAAGTAGTTTTAGTCATTGCTATTCTACGTTTTATTTCTATGTCTGGATCTAGTTGGTCCGTTATCAAAGTTCCCAAATATGTCATTTTGTAAAGTTTCTCAACTTGGACTCCATTTAATTGAAGCTTTGCATGTGGGTCACGACTAAGCACTTAAAATTTGGTTTTGTTTGAGTTTATTTGAATGCCCATTTCCTCTCCTACCTCGTAAATACGATCAAGCAGAATTTGAAGACCTTCAATATTATCTGATAGAATTACTGTATCGTCTGCATATCTAATCACATTAAGTAGTTCCCGTTGATTTTTATTCCATATGGTTGTCTCTCAAGTGCCTTTTTAAATAACTGGTCCGAGTAAACATTGAACAATGTTGGCGACAAAATGCAACCTTGTCTGACTCCTCGTTGTATAGAGATTTCATCGGTGTAGTTATCTCCAATTTTTACGATAGCAGTTTGATTCCAGTACAAATTTTTAATGACACGAATATCCTTGTCATCTATTCCGATATTTTTCAGTATTTGCATTAATTTTACATGCTGTACTTTATCGAATGCCTTTTCGAAGTCCACGAAACATGCAAATACATTTTTTCTTTGGTCACGGCATTTTTGTAATAGGATGTTAAGCGCAAAAAGTGCCTCCCTGGTTCCCATAGCATTTCTAAAACCAAATTGGTATCTTCCAGATCTTCTTCGCATTTGCGTCTAATTCTGTTGTGAAGTATTCTAGGAAAAATTTTAAGTGTGTGGCTCATTAGACCAATTAATCGATATTCTGAGCATTTTCTCGCATTGAGTTTTTGAGGTATTGCGATAAAGATGGATTTGAGCCAATCTGCGGAATCACTCCGGTGTTATATATTGAATTAAAAAGTCTTACTACTACTTTTATGTTATCATTCTCTATTAGTTTCGGCAACGCAGTTGTATGTCATCTGGACCACAAGCTTTTCTAATTTTAGCATTATTTATAGCGTGTTCTACCTCGCATTTCATAATTTCTGGGCCGTCAGTACAGTTTTGATAGAATTCGGCAATATTATTCCTGTCATCTTCAAACAACTCTGATATATACAGCTGCCATTCTTTTCTTATTTCGTGCTCATTTACAATAATTTTGTTATTATTGTCAACAAGTACAGAGGGAACTCGTTTTTTAGATATGTTACTCATTTCTTTTAGTTTTTTGTACAAATTAAATAAGTCGTGTTTAGATATTACATCCTCCATTTCGTCGCACATTTCTCTCATCCATTTTTCTTTGGCTAATTTGATCTCCTTTTTTTTATTCTTAGTATTTTTTTTGCCTTCTCGTTCTTTGCACAGTAAACTGTTCAGCGTGACGATTTGTTTAATCTATCTAGAGCTGAATTACTTCATCCGTCAAAAACAATTTATATATCTATAGGGCTCTTCTAAATTAACATCTGAGGGTGTAAAATGGTTTGGCTGTTGGTACTCATCAAAATTACAGTTGACATACGTATTGGCTTCATTAATTGATGTCCACTCTACTACTGACGGTGCTATGTTTTGTTGTTCATTTTCTTCTACTTCCTCTTCCTCAGAATCTGTCGATGATGAACTCTTGCTAGATAGACTTAATAATTCAAAGTCGGGATCACTATCACTATCGTCCGAAAAAACATCCGATGTAGAAAATGGGGTGCTTGAAGATGTTGCACTTAGCTCTATATAATCTTCCAAACCAATAGTAGATGCAATCATAGATGAGGTAGTAGGTAGTTGAGGAACTTCGTCGTTCGGTTGTTTTTTGTTACTATTGGAAACTATTTCTGGAGGTATTTCCAGAGGAAAAGTTCTACGTGAAGTGCTGGCACATAAACTAATTTGATCTGTGTCATTTGGTCCATCATTTCTAGACATGATAAAAGACGTAGAAGTTTCTGCATGGTGCTGTAATGTTTGGTCCTCGCTATTAAAATTTTTTTCGGCTAGCGGCTCTAGTGGACGAATGGTATCATCAGATAACACAATATTTTCTCTCTCATTTTGATTGATACAGCTTGCTAGATGTAATATTTTCGATAACCTACTTGATTTTTCAAATAACTTTCTCTTGACCATATTGTCGATTGCTTTGTAAATTTATTTATTATGTTTTAAAAACACTTACTTGTATGATAATTCAATACCGAATTTGTTCTGATACTACTATTGACACAAAGAATTCAAATACGCAAAAAAACCTCTCCGGCCTGACGAAAAGAAATATCGTAAATTGCAAGGTTCTAGTAGGAAAAACTTTTAACATAACGATTCGTCTTGAATATGTTAAGCTGTCTAATGGCTTAAGCAACCTGTTTGTTGGTAGGTGGTCTTTTCTTTTTGTTGAATTCTTCTTCTTTAAGTGCCGTCTCCCAATCGGAGGTTGGATATCATCATCACTATCTTTACTTTATCTACTGCTGCTCTAAAGAGTTCTATAGAACTGCATTTAAACCAGTCCCTTAAATTCTTCAACCATGACACTCTCCTTCTTCCTATACTCCTTCCTCCTCTTATCTTTCCTGTATTATCAGCCTTAGCAGTTCATATCGCTGTCCCCTCATTACGTGTCCCAGATATTGTAACTTTCTTATTTTTATCGTGTTTATTATTTCGCATTCTTTGCACATTTCTCGCAATACTTCCGTGTTAGTTTTCTTCTGTGTCCATGCTATTCTAAGCATCCTCCTGTAACACCACATTTCAAAGACTGTAACTTATTTATGTGTTCTTGCTTCAATGTCCAGCTTTCAAGTCCATATTGCAGTATCGAAAACACGTAGCATCTCAGTGCTCTTACTCTCAGTTCTAATCTAAGATCTTTGTTGCAGAGAATTGTTTTCATTTTTACAAACGCATTTCTTGCTATTTCTATCCTAGCTCTTATTTCGGTTGTTTGATCATTATTGTCTGAAATCCAGGTTCCTAGGTATTTGTATTTATCAACCCTTTCTATCGGTACATTTCCCAAATGTATGTTTGTTGGTATATTTGTTTTCTTTGTTATTATCATGTATTTGGTCTTTTTTATATTCATTTTTAGTCCATATTTTTCACAGAAACTGTTTGTTTTGTTTAGCAGTAATTGGAGTTGTTCAGCAGAGCTTGCCATAATCACGGTGTCATCTGCATATCTTATGTTGTTAATAGATCTTCCGTTAATTATTATTCCTTCACTTTGAGATAGTAATGCTTCTTCAAAAATGGCTTCACTATATACATTAAATAGTAATGGGGACATAATACATCCCTGCCTAACTCCTCTCCTGATTTCAATTTCTGGACTGGGTTCGTTATCTATTACGATTTGTGCTCTTTGATTCCAGTAGAGGTTTGTTATTATTCGTAAGTCCCTGTGGTCTATGTTTTTTGTCTTTAGAATTTGGACTAATTTTTCATGTCTTACTTTGTCAAATGCTTTTTCAAAATCAACGTAACAAACATGCACATCAACATTCATATCCATGCATCTTTGAGCTAACACATTAAAAGCAAATAACGCTTCTCTGGTTCCTAGTCCGTTTCTGAACCCAAACTGACTATCATCTATTCCTTCTTCCAGTTTTTTATTTATACGACCATGTATTATTTTCAGGAATAATTTGAGAATGTGACTTATTAGTGATATTGTTCTGTATTCACTGCAATATTTAGCGTTTGTATTTTTAGGGATAGCACAAAAGGTGGAGAGTAACCATTGTTTCGGTATGTGTCCTGTTTTGTATACTGAGTTAAATAAGTCTACTATAATGTCTAAGGTTTCATCATTCATGCATTTTAAGATTTCTATAGGGATTTCGTCTGGACCTAATGCTTTACCATTTTTGCTGTTTTTTAATGCCATTTTAATTTCCTCTTTTAATATCTTTAAAACCATATCCTGTTCTACTTCTATCTCCATCTGTTCTGTTCTATTGTCTTTGAATAGTTCATTGATGTATTCTGTCCATCTCTTTAATTTGTCGTTAGTATTCAACACAAGTTTCCCATTTGCATCTTTCAGTATTCCCGGTTTTCTTGTTCTATTGTTGTGAGTTAATTCTTTAATTTTTTTATGTGTGTTAAAACTATCATGTCTTTTCTGGTATTCTTCTATTTCTGCGCATTGTTCTTTTAGCCATTGTTCTTTCGCTTTCTTAATTCTGTATTTTATTTGTTTATCCACTTTTTTGTACATCTGATTATCTTTGTTCTTATATTGACGTCTTTCTTCCATTAAATCTAAAATTTCTTCCGTCATCCATTGCTTCTTTTTATATCTGGTTTGTATTAGAATTTCTTTTTGACTTTTATCTATTTCTGTCTTTATTAATAACCATTTTTTCTCCGTCTCAGTATTTTGCAGAATTTGTTCTTTAACATTCATTAATCCGTTGTTGATTTCATCTGCCAGGCGTTGCCTTATGAGTGGGTTCCTTAATTTACTTGTATCGATTTTTGCATTTGTTGTTCTTCGCTTTATTATTTTCATTTTGAGCCTAATTTTGGTCACTACTGGGTTGTGATCTGATCCTATGTCGGCACTTGGATAGGTTTTTGCGGATATAATTGCGTTCCTGTATCTTTGTCTAACTAATACATGGTCTATTTGGTTTCTTACAATTCTCTCTTCTTGATCTGCTGGTGACTTCCAGGTATATAGTCTTCTCTTTGGCATTTTGAACAATGTATTAGCTATAACAAAATTATTGTTTTGGCAAAATTCGATAAGCCTGTCACCCCTTTCGTTTCTGTTGCCCAGACCATATCCTCCTGTACATTCTTCTACTTTTTCTTGCCCAACCTTTGCGTTAAAGTCTCCCATTATAATTGTTAAATCTTGCATTTTAATGGATTGTAAAATGTTGTCTAGGTCTTCGTGGAAAGTTTCAATATCGCTCTCTGGTTTGTCTGCAGTTGGAGCATAAACTTGTAGGATGTTTATTTTGGGTTTGTTCTTGTTTAATTGTAAGAGTATAATTCTGTTGGAGTATGGAGTGAAATTTATTACAGCTTCATCAATGTTTTTGTTTAATATTATCCCGACACCATATCTGTGTGAACCGTCTTGAATTCGTGAATAATATATTGTTTCATTGTTGATTTTTATCTTTCCTGAGTCGGGCCATTGGACATTGAATTGAATAAACTTCAATTATTTGATCTGCTTCTTCGAAATGAAGGCCATTAAATTATGCGTCAAAAATTTCAACTCCTATGTTCAAGATTGAGGCCGTATCACTTTTCCATCCTTACAGCTTCCTTTTCTTGACTTTAACTCTTTGCCCTTTAGTTTAGATTTTTGTAGAACTTTCGAGTTTGGTTTTGATTTCTTAGTCATTCTATGCTTTCTAACTGCTTTTCCTTAAATTGCTTTTTTTTTCTTTATGTATGTGATATGTGTGTGATATGATAGATAGTAATTATAATTAATAGTCACTTAAAATATACATTTTTATTATTTTTATACCTCCACATTTACTGATTTTACCTTATACAAATAGTCCATGGTGCCATACACCAACATCAAAAGACTCAAAAATTATCACAGCAATTCATATTCGTACTTCTTTAAATTATATCATTTATTAGAAATAAATATACAAAATAAAATCAATTTAAAGAATAGATCTTAATCATTAATATTATGGGTACATTTATTTTAATTAGATGTTATACTTCATAATCATTACTCTTTAACTCGGCTATGAATCCAGGATAAGAAGCTTGAAACCTTTGTGTAAATTCCAGGTAATCCTGCTGTACCACAATTATTATTTCCAAATGAAACGATTCCCTCTTGGTACCACTGAAGAGGATTAGCAAGTGATCTTTTCATCAACGGACCTCCACTGTCACCTGTAAAAATAAGGTTATGTATTAACCATGCAATTTTTTTACTACATTTGGTATATCTATTTCAAATATTGTATGCTGAATTCGAAAGATGATATTGGTTTGTCATAATTAAGTAGAGGTATAGTAATAATAGTCTAAATAGTATATTGTTTTGGAGATAGAGTATGGATTATATATTATGGTAAACCTTATTTAATTTTATCATAATTATCAACCTATTACATCTGATCATAATTAACATCTATACAGCAACCTGCTTTATTTCTTTTTGAAACGGTTACCTTGTAACTTTTTGTCAACTATGTTGTTAGGAGGATGTAGGGTTGTGTTATAGAGGTAGTACCTTTTATGGGAACGACCACATCGAGCGTCATAGACGGGAGGTGGTTCCAGATAAAGAGTCCGCAAGACACCTAACTCTCACTTATGGCTCCACGTGCCACTCCCCGGGCAACTACATTGTTCTGCAGGCTAAACTGAGTGAGGGTAGCCAGATATGGTAAAAATTTTATCGAGCAATTACCGAGTGATTCCCTGATGAAGGGTAGCAGCGATCATCAGTACCAACTCAATTCGCAGAGGAAATGGTCCTGGATCGCCTTGAAACTGGACTACCACAAGTATGACTAAAGCAGTTTGAATGGTTATGGTGCTGCGATAGGAAAGGCAACGGAAAACTACCACATAAGAATTTCCTAGAATAGTTATCATGATGATCGGATCCCAAGACCCGGCAGGGGATGATGCACGCAACCAAATAGTAGGGCCTCAAAGGTCGTCAGCCAGCGAAATCTCTGCGCCTAAAAAGGAAGCAAGTCCTCAACACCTAAGGATTGGAACTTGGAATGTACGAGAGCGATAAAACTGATAATATTGCAAAAGAGATGAAAAGATTAAAAATTGATAGATTGGGAATTAGTGAAACACACTAGCAAAACTCTGGACAATGCGATATACTACGATAGAAAGTTTACTATGCTGGAAACAATACAACACATCACAGAAACGGCACCGCAATAATAGTTGCCCCACATATTAATTCGGCAGTAAAATCTTTCACTCCCCATTCAGATAGAATAATGCTATTACAAATTTGAGTCAACACCGGTGGATATTAACATATTACAGGTATACGCGCCAACGGCAGATAAAGATGAGGCAACCAGCGAAGAATTCTACGAACAACTGGAAAGCCTGATGAAAATGACAAAAAAACATGAAGTAACAATAGTGATGGGAGATTTCAATGCAAAGTTGGCAGAGGCAAGGTGAATGAGATCGAGGGAAACTTCGGCATAGGGGAGAGAAACGATAGAGCTAATAGACTTATATCCTTCTGCCAGGAATATAATCTGCTGTTAAGCAATACACTCTTCAAGCTCCCCAAACGTCGACTTTACACATGGAAATCCCCCGCTGACTTACCTGACAACATCATAAGGAATCAGATTATATAGCAGTACCAACAAGATATAAAAACATGATAAAATTATCAAAAACGTACCCTGATGCCGATGTTCCTACGGACCACAATCTGTTGGTTTGAAGAATGGTCATGAGAGTAAAACGGCTCGAGAAAAGATCTAATTTAAACACAATTGATATTAAGAAACTAACTAACCCAGAAACGAAAATAAAAGTACGAGAAAAACTAGGAAAGAAAATAAACGACATTAACGAGAACACGTCGGACATAATAGAGAGATGGGATAAATCAAGAAAAGCAATCCAAACAATATCTGCGTTTGGAGCAATACAAACTTCTCCTGTCACTGCTATTAAAGCGTGACAGACAAAAGAAGAAAAATGGATGAAAGACGTAAATTCAAGAATAAAAATGCAGAAAAATACCAGCAGATCCACAAAATCATAAGAACAAAAATTCGAGAAGCCAAAGAAAAATGGTTTTCCAACGAATGCAGGGAAATAGAACAATACGAACGGAAATACGACAGTTGCAATATGCACAAAAAAATAAAATCAATGACAAACAAGAGGAAATTCAATAAGGTACCCAACAGCATAAAAGATAGCGATGGAAATCTTATCTCGGAGCCTTCAACGATCTTAGAAACATGGAAATCATACATAAAAAAATTATTTGCATCTGACAGGACTGATGATCACCTATATGGAGAAGGAGAAACAGGACCTTCAATCTTTAAATCGGAGATAGAAGATGCCATTGCAGCACTAAAAAACAATAAGTCAGCAGGTCCGGACAATGTACCCTGCGAAATATTAAAGATCCTATGTAAAACAGACAAACAGTTTCTTAATAATCTAGTTGTACTTTTTAACAACATATATAATAGCGGTAAAATCCCGGAGAATTGGCTGTAGTCAACATTTATTACAATCCCGAAGAAACCAAATGCCCAGATCTGTGATGACGGCTTATAAGCTTGATCAATCATGTCACTAAAGCGTTCACTAAGATCATTCATAGAAGAATATATGATAAATGTGAGTCAAATATTGATAGATCGCAGTTTGGTTTTCGGAATGCACTTGGAACTAGAGAAGCAGTTTTTGCTCTTCAGGTGCTTATATAGCAGTGTAAAGAACTTGATAAGGACGTGTATTTGTGCTTTGTGGATTTTAGAACAGCATTTGATAATGTCAATCATGAACAATTGATAGATATTGGATAAACCGGATGTAGTATATCGTATGCATCAAGGGCCTAGAAATATTTCAGATTATAATCCGAAAAAGCGGCTGTAGATATGACATTTTAAATAAGTTAAATGTGAACTATCAGGAAATAGCTATTATTGGATACTCACTGTAGGCTATTGGCAAGTAATTAATGTAAATTAGATAAAAAATTATATCTAAAATACGTTACTGTATATATTTAGATGACTTCCATAAACCAAATAAATTTTCTTTCCATCTAATTTTAAATATAATACTTATCAAAAAAGGCACATCTTCCTAAATTTGATTCATTTTAACATTTTGAAAAAATTCTGACCACTCAATTAACCATAATTTAACAAATTGATATGTAAAATATTTTTACCTTTACAAGAATCCTTTCCATCTTTTCCTCCAGCGCATATTTGGGAATCACTTAGCCTAAGTCTTGCTGATCTAAAAGCATGCATACATTCGTCTTTCGTGCGAAAAGGTACTTCCACCTTGAGTTTGACATTTGTAGCATCGTGTTCTGTTAAACCCCAACCAGCAGTTGTAAGTTCGTCATCTCTAACAGAGCCTTCATTTGGTTCAGGAAGACAAATTGGTCTAATAAAATCTAGAAATAGAAATGGAACTTTATTTATCTAATTGTCATTATTTATATCTAAATCAAAACAGTTTTAAATATATTTAAACATTTTTAACAAAATAAGTCTAGTGAAAATATTAAACAGAATTAAATTACAAATTTAAACGACAAATTAAAAACACGTCAAATATCGATTAAAAGCTCAAAGAACACTTAAGAAGGCAATATAAGTGTGCCTTATACTCAATAACTGGTCAAATGAAGGTTTTATAAGTGTGAATGAGAGTTTTATTATTAGTTTTACCGAAATTCCCTGAAAGTGGTACTAGGAGACGGGCTCGGTTTCTGACCCTATCTAAAGTTGCCTTTAGATCAACGTCCCAATTAAGCGTTTTAGTGAATAAAACGCCCAAGTAGGAAGCTGTCGGGCTGGTAACGAGCCTTTCTCCCATCAAATACAGGAGTGTTTGATCAACGCGATTGCGTATGATGCCTGACGAAGCTTTAGGGCTGCGGAACACAATAGATTGTGTTTTTGCAGCGTTTAAAGTAACTCTCCACTTATTACACCATTCTTCGATACCGTTTAAAAGAGTTTGTGCTCTTCTATAGGTTCTCTCAGGAAAATAACCGCTCCCTGTTGTTAGGAGGGCAGTGTCATCTGCATAGAGGTACAGTTGGGTGTGTGGTATGTTTGGAGTGGGTATAGAACTGTTGTATGTGATGTACAACAGGGGTGCAAGCACTGAGCCTTGTGGTACTCCCGCTCGTGGAGTAAATGGGGTTGATAGTTGATCGCTTATTCTCACTCTCACCGTTCTATTTGTAAGATAGGAGTGAATGATTTTAATGAATTGAAGTGGTAGTCTGATGTCAATTAGCCTCCGAATAAGTCCTTCATGTCAGACTTGATCGAAGGCCTTTTGCACATCGAGAAAAGTGGCGATGATGGTACTGTTGCCGTTTATAGATTGTGTAACTTTTGAGGTGAAGTCTATTAATGCATTTTGGGTTGATCTTTTTGGTTGGAATCCATACTAAAATTTGGGATGATGATGTGGGAATCGAGGAAGTCGCTGAGCCTCTCTTTTAGGATTAGCTCAAGGACTTTCCTAGTGAATTAATTAGGAGATAGGTCTGTATGATTCCACATTTGTACGGGGCTTACCCTTTTTGGGTATCATGATAGTGTTAGATATTTTCCAAGAGTAGGAAAATAGCAGTTTTTGAGACAATGCATTAATAGTTTTTGTGAGAAGCGTATTATACTCTCTGGAAGTTGCTTTAGACACCTTCTACTGATATTATCAGGTCCAGGAGAATTATTTTTGCCTAGATGGCAATAACTCTCCGTTTCTCTGTCAGTAATAGGGTCCATGATTGGGACGTGATTTGGAGTTTGATGCAAGAGAGTATTTCTTACTGAATAGTCAGTTTCGAGTTTGAATAAGCGATCAAAGTTTGGATTATTTGGTGATTGAAAGTTTTCGTGAAGCGAGTTTTTGAATGCTTCGGCTTTCAGTTCAGGAGAACTGATTATTTGATTGTGGATCAACAGATGAGAGGGTTGAGTTGTTTTTTGCTTGGTTAGGACTTTGAATTTGTTTCAGAATTTAGCCCTATCTCTGTAGTCCAATTTCGAGGTAGCATCCTCCTACTGGCGAGCCTGTAGGATGGATATTTCCCTCTTAGTTCGAGCAGAGATTGAGTGATTGATTTCCTCGACTATTAGGTTTTCAATTTGGATAACACTCTGGTCAATACTTTCATTAGTATTAATTTCACCTAACTCAGGAATGTTGCTAGTGATGTATTCTTTAAAGCGTGGCTAGTTTGCGCTACGATAACATCTTATCTTGTTTGGGAGATGGTGGGATTGTGGGTGACATGATATCAGAATTAACTAATATCGGAAGATGGTCGGACGTTATTGGTCGCTATGTGGCACCGATCGTCGAACCTATGCATCACGCTACCAGTAACGATGATGTGGTCCACGATAGATGCCCCATTTGCGTTCAACAACGTATAGTCAGTATTTGTGATTCTTATGATTGAAAGGTCTAGAAGTATATCAGTAAGTCTGATGTCTTCCAGGTTTGAAAAATGATCACCGAATTGTGTGTGCCTACAGTTCAGGTCGCCCATTAGAATTGCTTTATTTAGAGTAGAGAAATACTCTAGAAGCTCGAGAGAAAGCGGGCTCGCTGAATGCTGTGGATGCCTGCGGACTCGATGGCCTTTTCTGTGATTTGTCTTAGTACAAATACGGCGTCTAAGAAGGATCTTCTTTATCTGAATGCTTGTTACTCATTTTGTTGATTAGGATTTTTGTGGTAAGCTGAAGTGCGGTGTTTAGTAGATTTATACCTCTATAATTGTTGAAGTCTTTTTTATTTCCTTTCTTGAACATTGGTATCATTATGCTGCTTCTCCATGCGTCTCGTATCTTGCAGAGCAAAATTAGTTTTTGTATAAGCTTTGTCATCTCTAGGGTTATACTTTCTCCTCCGTGTTTTAAAAGCTCTGAATTATTATAATTATTCCTAAAAAGTTTTGCATGGCCTCAAACCTATAACGCCCCCGTCAGAAATCGAAATTTTTTAGACATGTACATGTACAAGATGTTTAAAAAATATAAACCTTGTTAAGAGTAAAATACCTCTCGCCTTGCGCACAGTACTAATACTGTACGAAACATTTATTATTCTTTAACCATTTAGTTGGTAGTGTAACTTTTTGGCTACATCAACTTTAAATGACAATTTTTATGGAATGCATAGTGCAGTTTATGGCATGCATGCATACCCTCTTTAGAGTTTGACTTCAATAACGTTTTTTATTAATGTTAAGACTGACATGGGTATTTATTACAAATAAGGAAAAATTATGTTTTAATATGGCTAAAGGTGAACAGGTATGTGCTAACATCTTGCTTGAAAATGAAGAAATAATATTTTTTGTTTTATTATTTACAAAGTAAGTTTTTTTGTTGATTATTTTGGCTTTACGTTAAACGTAAAGGTTCATTGGCTTAGTTTTTGAAAATATCTATAATTAAAAAAAAAATACCCATTTAACTATAAAATCTGCATTCAAAAAACTGTGTAGCTAAAAAGCAATATTGCCAGTTTATAGCAATTATACAAATATAGAAAGATTTTAAGAAAGAAATAAATAAAACATTAATAAACTAACCATTACACAAGAATTTCGAAAAGAATCTTTATTTACAAATAAATACATCTAGACAAATTCTAAAATCATATCTAAATAAGACGTGCAGAATTTAATGAACTTTATAAGTAAAATAAAATATACACTGTGTGTCAGCCAAGTGGAATAAAGCTAATAAATAAATAAGCGAGTATTCGAAAAAACGAAAGAATTCGAAGGAATTTTCTTATATAAATAAATACGTCATAAATACGGGTGTATCAGATAACGATGACCAATACCAACTTAAAATGCAAAAATTCACATTTAGAAAAGAAAATTATTTATTTGTCGAAAGTCGCTACCACTGTCTTAATCCTTCTTGTCCATTAGGTCTTGGTAATGATAAAGTAAGCAAACACTATTTAAGGATTCCTTTTTATTGATATGTTAAAAAAAAACAAAAAATTGTTTACTTTGGTTTAAAACGTCAATGTTTTATTGTTCCATGACAGAAGTAGTTGTTAGTGCTACAGTTATTTGAATTTCATTAACAACAAGCCAGAAAAATGGTTTATTTAACAAAATGCACAAAATTACAATTATACAGATGATTGGCTATCGGGATAAGACACGGACGCAAATGGAAGTAGCTCGTTTATTTCACGAAACATTTCCTAATTTGCCGCACATATCTCAAGGGACAATTAGTAAAATAGAGAAGCAATTCCATGAGATGGGCCATGTTAGGAAGGTAAAAAAGAAGCTGCCAATCTAATAAGTGAGGAAACCAAATTGGCTGTTATGCTTGAGTTTGAGGAACACTCACATATATCTGTTCAAAAAGCAGCCCCAGTACTCGATATTAGCTATTCATCGATTATTTGAACATTACAAGAAAACAAAATACATTTCTATAAAATTTTACACACTCAAAGGCTCGTGGAAGATGATTTTGATAGGAGAACGTATTTTTGTGAAAAAATGATGGCAATGTTAGACAGCAATGTGATCCAATTAGAACATGTTTTGTTTTCTTTATTTACCTTTACTGTTCACGGTCATGTTAATCGGCAAAATTGCTGCTATTTGTCGCCAGGGAAAATCCTCACTGGATGAGAGAAGGCAATACTCAATACCCTGAGAAGGTTAATGTGTGGGCAGGAATTATTGAAGATCAGATCATAGGTCCCGTTTCCATAGATGGCAATTTGAATGGCGAAAATTATTTAGCATTGCTTCAAAATAATGTAGTGCCAACGTTGGTGTCAGCAAATATAATATGGTTTCAATAAGATGGAGCACCGCCCCACTACCAAATCCATGTCCGGCAGTACCTTAACCAAATATTTCCAAATCTGTGGATAGGGATGCGAATATCGATGGAATGGCCACCACGATCCCCTGATTTGACGCCATTAGACTTTTTCTTGATATGTAAAAAGTATTGTATAAAAAACTAAACCACTGACAGCTGACTTACGAAGACGAATAACGCTTGCGATTAGATCGATCACATCTGAGATGTTGAGTAACGTTAAAAGAAATTTCTATTCAGGATTAGGGTGCATTTTGAACATTGATACATTGATATTATTGTTTAGATTTGTATTATTTAGAAGTTTTTAAATATGTTGTAGCGACTTTCGGCCAATAGATAATTTTCTTCTCTAAATGTGAATTTTTGCATTTTACTTAACATCTCCACTACGTCAAAGATATGTATAGGACATTGTGTTCAAAAAATGTCTAAAATTATCTGAGGAACCTAAAAATTAATTAATATACAGGGTGTTCTATTTAAAATAAGCAAATTTGTATTGGCCACCGTTATCTGATACACCCCGTATAAAAAGTTTTTATGGAAAAAATAAATAAAAAAACTATAATTATCTTACCAGTATATGTAATTCTTTGATTTAGCCTTATAAGAGCTATATCATTGGGACTAGTTTTATCATTAGGATCATAATCTTCATGGAACGTGAAGCTTTCAATCTCAGCAGTAATTGCTGGCTCATTACAATTTCCATCCTTATCGCAGTCTATTGTTTTGGACTTGTCGTGTTCACCCAGTTTGACATACGTACTACAAAAATTAGGTTATGTGTTAACAATCAATGATTTCTTTATGAATCTAATTAATAATATTATATTAGTAGCAGCATATAATAAAATACCCAAACGGGCTATTTCACAAATACAAAACGTTTTCAGAATCTATATTCGATCATAAGTGTAACTAAGTATACATATTTTGAGCCACTAAAATATTTGGGTAAAAACTGTTGAATGTTGTTAGTTTAAATTTCTGTTACATTATATGCTCTTATAAGTTGAGATGTAAAAGTTACCAGTGGAATTGGTAACATGGCAACGTACGACTCTACATCAGGTTACTTGGTCCTGAGACAAAGTGTCTAACGATGATAAATAGTCTCTAACGACTTTTGCATTATGTGCAGGACAGCCGTCTTGTTGAAACCAAATTTCGTTAAAGTTAATTTGAAGACGTTGAAGTACAGGAATAATTTTATTTTGCAGTAATTAAAGATATTTGACTGCGTTTAAATTGCCTTCAATTAAAAAAGGACCAATAATATGGTCTCCCAAAATTCCAGTCCAAATATTCAATTTTTGTGGATACTGCGTACGAACAGACACACTCAAATGCTTATTTTTCTGAGACCAATAACGTATATCGGATGAATTATGTTTCTTATGAATTGTGAAGAAGGACTCATCTGTAACCAAAATATTTTTTAAAAAATTATTATTTGCATGGCATCTCTCCATCAGAATTTCACTAAATTGGATCCGTTTAAATTTATCATCAGGAAATATTTCTTGAGTTGCCTGCACTTTATAACAATGGTAGTTGTTTCTTTTCAAAATATTTTTCATTGTTTTTGCATTCAAATCAACTTCATCGGCAATTTGTTTACTTGAAGACGGCGTCGCTTCAGCCAATGCACAAACTTGAATTTCTCTAATTTTTCGTTCTTGTCGAAAAGAAAATTGTCAAATTTTCTTTTCGCGAGGTTGATCTAATGGGCAACATTTTTTACATCTGCCATTAGTACAGCCAAACCTTTCAAATTGATGAATAATGGCTAATAAAGTTTTTTCTATAGGTATTGGCCTATTTTCAAAAGTCATAATAAATAAATTGATGGTTTTTTGTACTGAATTGCCCATTTTATTATTTGGACCCGTTCTTCTGTTGAATACACAGTCGGCATATTTATTTCTTATCTTCACACATAGTTACCTCCAAAAAGAAATACATACCTATCGACAGGCCGAAAGCATAGCATAGCTGTCGGCCTCTCTCGTCTCGACGGATAGCGATATTGCCAAAATTATCTTATACATATTATTCAAAATTTTGTTACAATTTTGTGAAATAAAAATGGGAATCTATAAATTTTTCATGGATTGTAGAAATTTTGGACCAGTATTTGTGTCAATTAATGTTTCATTTTTAACACGTTCACTGCCGGTGTAAAATCTGAATGGACCCTCAGGTGCCGTTAGCATTTTTTTTAGTATTTAAACTTCTTTTGAATAATAGTTTTTTAATTGAATAGTATCTAGTTGATAATTGAGGTATAACTATCAAATTACGTCATCACGCATACGTGGCGTGGTCGGCACCGAACAAAGAATTGCATGTTAGGTGCCGGCTACGGCACAGTGGTGTTTTAGTTACTTCTGCTGTATTTTAGGGTAGAATAATTCAAGTCAGACAGAAATGTTTAATTAAAAATAAAACAGTTAAACAAAACAAAATTTGAACACAAAAACTAAATTGTACATAAAATAAAATCAAAAATATAAAATATAAGATTATTTTGAATGCCACATTCTAAAACAAGGGTTTAAACATAATCCTGGTTGACCAACGCATAGATTACAAAAGTAAGGAGTTATCTGTCTCTTGTTTTGAGTTTTACACACTCTACAGTCTTTTCTTCGAGCCCGTTTATGGTCATCGGTTCGTTCAAATTTTGACGGCAAATGGTGTAATTCGTTTGCTTTTATAGTTTTTTTGGGACAATTTTTAGTTTGGGCTCCCTCCAAAAGTTCCTCAATAATGGCCAAACGAAAATCATATAAATTTTTTCTTTGACCAGAATACGCATTGAATAAAAAATGAGAATTTATGAGCATTACTTGAAAAAAGTGGATAAATATTTTTTTGTACCACCTTAAGCTTTTACGCTCACATGGGTTGTAAGCCAACATTTGATCTTTACGATCTACACCCGACATATTTTTATTATATTGTGCAATGGCCTCAGGCTTTTCTTTTTCAATACCTCTTCTGTTCGAAACCGTCACGAAATCACCAGAATACTCTGTAGTAATAAATGAAACATCCCTTTTATCACGCCACTTTCCCATAAGAACACCAGAATTGTTATTACACTTTAGAATTATTTCACCTCTCTTGAGTTTAGAACTTACAACTTCATGAGAATTTCCTTTACGATTCAGTCGTAATGTTCCTGTGCAATAAGTCTTCCGCTCGAGAAGGGCAACCGACAATGTGTAACTATTGTAGAAATTGTCCATGAATAAAGAATGACCTTTATCCAGGTATGTCACCATTAGTTGAAAAACAACGTCTGAGGTATGACACCTTTCACTAGATTGAACTTTTGCTCCAGTATACACAGCTATTTTTAAAGTAAGTCCGTTAGGTTCAGCCAGAACATAAAGTTCCACCCCGTACTTATGACGTTTGCTCTTTATATACTGCCTGAACTGCAGTCGGCCTCTCCACAAAACCATTGATTCATCAATGCATAAATTTTTAGACGGATAATATATTTGAGACATTTTTTGGTTTTTACAATACCTAGATTTTTTACAAAATGTAGGCAACGTAAGATTAACAGGAAACGATTTCTTCCCATATAGTTACTGAAGCAGTAAGATTGAACAATTTATGTTTCTTCCAGTAATCATTTATTCGGTTAATTTTAATTGTTCCCATACGTAAAACCAAACCAAAAAATATACGCAATTCCCCCATAGTAGTTAGTTTCCACTCCGTTATTCTAGATTTCTCTTTTCCAGCAGAACTTAAGAAAATTTCTTCAGCATACCTATTTGTTTCATCAACGACAAGTTGAAAAAATGTGTCATCTGCTAAAAGATTAAAATAATCTATCGGATTATTGCCTTCAGGTTGAACTAATAATCCACAATTTTCCGTAAAAATGATATTTTGTTTGATCATAGGTGGATCGTCCCATATATAATATATTTTGATTAGTAAATATCGGTACCTGTACCTCAGCAGCGATGCCAGTATCTTCATGGTTAGAATGCTGTGATTCACAATCCGAATCCGTCAAATCTATTAAATCTTCATCGTCGGCGTATTCGCTTCCACTCGACATAATCATCAAAACTGTCATCATCGGATTCTTCCAGTCTTTGTCGTAATTCTTCATCCGTTAAGGGCTTCTTCAATTCGAATTCTGTTCTTCTTTTCTTAACGCCAGACGAACCAGGGTTATTGCCAGAAGCCATAATCAAACACTTTTAATTACTTACAAAACAAAATCCTGACTTTCGAACCGATATAAAATTTGAGAGACAATAAACCTTTTTGAGATCTATCAAATTCTCTATTTTTAATATAAGATTGATGTTTACTTATTCTAACATTTGAACTAAAAACTTTGAGCTCTTTAACTCAAAAACAATTGATTTTAAGTTGCACTGAGAACTTTTGATCAGCATGACCGAAGCGAAGTATCTGGCAAAGTTTTAGCCAATTTAACTGAATCCACTTTTACATTATACGTCACCTCAAAAAAATAGATAACTCGAAAATTTTTATTTTTGAAGTAAGTTTACCAATAGATGTAAATATATCATCTTTATGTTATGCTACAACCACACAATTCACAAAGTACCCTTTGAGTCAATATTTAACTTTATAAAACTCCGTGTCCACCTGTTTTCATTATATCGGGCTACGTGACCTGCCCAGCGCCATTTCATTTTTGTAATTTCTTCCACAATATCCCTAATCTTCGTTCTCCGTCTTATCTCGGTGTTTCTAATCTTGTCTCTTAGTGATATTCCAAGCATGATTCGTTCCATTGCTCTTTGTGTGGACGCAAAGTTGTGTGGACGCAAAATTGTGTGAGCGCAAAATGATGTGGGCGCAAAATGGTGTGGACGCAAAGTTGTGTGGACGCAAAATTGTGTGGGCGCAAAATGATGTGTTCGCAAAATGGTGTGGGCAAAAAATGGTGTGGGCGCAAAATGGTGTGGGCGCAAAATGGTGCTGGGGCGAAAAATGGTGTGGGCGCAAAATGGTGTGGGCGAAAACAGGTGTGGGCGCAAAATGGTGTGGGCGAAAAATGGTGTGGGCGCAAAATGGTGTGGGCGAAAAATGGTGTGGGCGAAAAACTGTGTGGGCGCAAAATGGTGTGGGCGAACAATGGTGTGGGCGCAAAATAGTGTGGGCGAAAACAGGTGTGGGCCCAAAATGGTGTGGGCGAAAAATGGTGTGGGCTCAAAATAATGTGGGCGAAAATTGGTGTGGGCGAAAAATGGTGTGGGCGCAAAATGGTGTGGGCGAAAAATGGTATGGGCGAAAAACGGTGTGGGCAAAAAATGGTGTGGGCGCAAAATGATGTAAGCGCAAAATACCGTGGGCGCAAAATGGTGTGGGCTCAAAATGGTGTGGGCGAAAAATAGTGTGGGCGAAATATGGTATGGGCGCAAAATAATGTGGGCGAAAAATGGTGTGGGCTCAAAATAATGTGGGCGAAAATTGGTGTGGGCGAAAAATGGTGTGGGCGCAAAATGGTGTGGGCGAAAAATGGTATGGGCGAAAAACGGTGTGGGCGAAAAATGGTGTGGGCGCAAAATGATGTAAGCGCAAAATAACGTGGGCGCAAAATGGTGTGGGCTCAAAATGGTGTGGGCGAAAAATAGTGTGGGCGAAATATGGTATGGGCGCAAAATAATGTGGGCGCAAAATAATGTAACTAATTATTTGTTAACGGGTTTTTACCCATATATTAAGTAGCTACATTCATGTACTCCTAGATACTGATG